GAGCAATGGATGCCACTAGTTTCTCCATACAGGAGGCGTCTTGAAGCTTGACAACAAAGGCTTTTGTACAAAGTATTAGATAAATTTCACTTCGTGTGTTCAATACTTTTCCCTGTGCCATTCCACATTATTACAAATAACTTCATTTCTGGACATTTATGGTTTGATTTCTTTGTATGTATGGATCACTTGGGTTGTTACCAACATCTGGTGAAAATTTCATGTCATTAGCACCTCTAGTAATATATTTACTGAGAAAAATGGTGACATGTTCAATACTTATTTTACCCGCTGTAGGTCCTTCAAGGAGGTATGCAGGTAACAGATTATTTATTTATGACTTTTCTACAGAGCTCTCTTTAAAGTGGCCCAAATATCCCTTTAAGTCAGAGGTGTCAAACTCATTTTTACTGAGGGCCACATTAGCGATATGGTGGCATTCAACACCAACAGTGTTTTAACACCAACAAAGTGTCTCTGTGTCCGCACATGGTGTTAAAATAACATTTGTGAAAGTGTTAAATTTTAACACACATTTTTTTTGTTAATTTAACATCAACCAGTGTTTGATATTCAACAATACTGGGTAAATGTGATCATTCACATTTCAACAGTGTTAAAATATGGTGTTAAAAGTAACCCCAGTGTACAATTATTAACACAGGATATTGTGGTGTTACAAAGGTGAACAGTAACCACAAGGTATCAACACCATAAATTTGAGAGTGTAAAGAGTTAAAATTAAACTCTTTAGTGTTGCATTAACACTGCTCAGTAGTGAATAGAAAAGTATAATGGAGTCACCCTTCACACACCAGGACAAACCTCTCACTCATGGTGTCAATTTATGGCCAATAACACAAACGTAAACTTGAACAAATTGATCAAACTGAACAAGAAAACTAACCAGAACAGCTAATGTTTACTCTCATGACATTCTTTAATAGTCATTAACATGTAAACACATCATTTCTACAAGATTACCCAGCATTCCTTGCTGTGAAAATACTGGTCTGTCTGACATGAGGTGGAAAAGGGCGGGGCTTTTCAGAATACGTCTTTCAACACAGCATGGTGTCATATAACAACACTGTTAAGTGTTAACAGCGGGCGGAGCTTATTTAACACTGTCCAGTGTTGATACAACCCTGTGGAAATCAACACTGGGTTAACACCAACACTGGGTGTCAGTTTACTCAGAAGGTGTTAAAATAACACCAGGGGGTGTTAAATCAACACCCAAAAGTTTTACACTGAAATTTTAACATTCCTGTTTTTGCTTTGTAATAAACAATAACCTTGCTCTATGTGGTATTTCCTGTAAAGAAACAGCATCATGTCCTGTTAAACACTGAATGTGTACAACAGACTAAATGTGAAATAAATAATACAGAAAAACTATTAAAAGTAAGCAAGATTTTTACTCATTGTTGAGTTGTAGCAAGTTAGCTGCCATCTTGAATTTGAACTCTGTGCACCCCCACCTCATAAATCCTTGAATAATTATTATGGGGGATGCAGTTTATGGTAGATGCTGCATTTTCTTTGATGTCCACAACATTGATCTCAGTTTATGAGAATGCACTTTAGGATATCTAAACGTGAAAAAGCCCAATCCATAACACTGACTTAATTTGTCCTGCCTGGGATCTCTAAAATGTTGATTAAGGCTCGGATAAAAGGCATTCTGGATAAATGAGGATGTTCATTTAGTCAGAAAAAGAAAGAGAAAAAAAATGAAAATAAAAATAAACATGCCTATCTGAGTTAAAGATCCAGTATTGAAGGATAAATTCAGACATATGCCTCCTCCATAATAAAAACCTTTCACAGGACAAACACAAATCCAGGTTAAATTAGAGGAAGGAACAAAATGTAGAATTATTAACATGTTTGTGTCGGCTGCAGCAGGCGTTTTATATTGGATTGAATCCAAAAGTGAATCAGTTTTAGAAATTCATCTGATGAATACTTTCTGCAAGTTTCAATTAAATCCGCCCAGCGGTTCATACGATATTTTGCTAACAGAGGCGCATGCGCGCACACAGACAATAATTGTCTGCCTTCACTTTTCACACAAGATAATGGCTGCTATAATAAGAATTCTTTATGTTTGTTTTGTTTTCTAAATTTCCCCTTTCCTGCAGCTTGCACTCTCCCTCGCCTGGTTGCACAGGCGCGCGGCCGCGGCGCGTGCCTGTCTCATTGATTGACAAGCGGCTCTGTCTAATCAGATGAGAAGGATCCACCGTAAACAGAGAGCGCGGACCAATCGTGGCGCGCGGGGGGCGGGGTTTATGCTAATGCGTTTTCCAGGGAGACGCAGAGGTTCATTCATCTCCTCAGAGAGAGCGGGGTGAAGCCGAAGGTTGTTTCACATGAACAAGAACCTGTTCCGGAGGAAAATACAGCCGTGACATTAGATAACAAGCGGTTCTGTTATCAAAAAAGGAGCTCATTCTTCTTCTCAACATCGCAGGGTGAGTTTAAACCATTTTTACTAACAATTCTGGTCTGTTTTCATAATGAATATTAATGCGTAGCTCGTAAAATTGTCAAAAATTGAGCTTTTACTTTAACAAGATTGGTTATTTTGCTGGAAAAAAAAACTCAAGTCGAAGAGACTTACTTGTTTCTAGTTAGAAAATATTTCACTTATATTTGTGATTTTTATAATAGATAAATTAGCTGCCTAATAACCTGAAAATGCAGCTTTCCAGTTTTAAAGATGAGTCTTTACATGGGAGCAACATGGATACAACAAGGCTAAATGATTGTCACAACTCTTTTCATGATGCAGAGCAGAAATGTAATTTTAAAATGGAGCCACATGCATATCAAGCAGTAATACAGGAGGGTTTTCCTGCATGTTCCCCTTGGGTGTGTGGTTGTTTACATGCCAACCATGTTCAGAGACTCTGTTAAAAAAAAAGCATAACCACCAGTGATGGGTACATCAGTGATACTTTGTGGCAGGGCTGGCCTTTAACTGCGCAGACCTTTACTGGTTGACTTTTTCCCTTGCACATTTTAGGGATTTTCTGCTCGGCCTGCTAGTATACAACGTGTTTTTTTTTATCTGAAGGCAAGATGGGATAATGTTTTGGCTGTGTCCTATGTGATTAGCAAAATATCTCTTGAACCACTGGATGGAGTTTAACAGTTGTCTCAGGAGCTAGTACCAAGCTAAACTTTGTATCACAGAAATGTGAGAATGCTAAACTGTGTCCTCCATACTGATGCTCCATAAAGTTGTTTATTTCTTTTTGCAGACTTCAGAATTATAT